TTTAATTCCCCGAAGTATAGTTGCCAGCTGAAAATTGTTTTTGGTTGGGTCTGCAAGTCCATGTTCAAGATGTAGGATGCGAACTGCATTCAAATAGGCTGGGATGGAGGATGCTGAAAGTGATCTTGCTAGGAAGACTGCGTAGCGGTTAAGGGTTGATACTGATGCTGGGATAGGCTGGTAATCGTAGTATACACAAAAGGAGAGGTGTGAGCGCATTTGACTCATATAGGTGGACTTGGTAGTAGGGGCATATACCTGACGCCGGAAATTGATGACTTTGTGGTCAAGTTGCTGCTGATCCTTTGTATCTAAGGAGTGCAAGAGACAATGATGACATGTGAGATTCTAAATCATATGATACAGGGGATTCGGAGAGCCATGCGTGGAACGTTGGCCAGTAGTGTACATTGTCAAGGCGTGAAACTCTACCTGCTAGGGTATTGGTTGTTCCTGGAATGTGTTTGACTAACAGGCTGAAATTGTAATGCTCCTTAAACCAAAACACAGAACGAATCCAGTCCATTGTTACTGGGCAACAGGTTGAACCTGGCTGTCCAACTTGACGACCACTTGATAACCTGACCAAAAGGGTGCCCAACGATGGGCTGCCAAAACGATTGTGAATGTCTCTTTGTAATTGATGTGCAGAGAGCAGAGAGCTGGGTAGTCTAAGGCCCAGTTAACGTACATCCAGTCAGTTTCCCATACGCACCCCCCACCAGACAGGGAAGCATCCGTAAGCACTGCTGTAGGAAGTTCTGGGGTTGCTGAGGGTAACAATGTTTTACAGTTGTGTGCAGGCAAGAGGGAGGTCCACCACAGGAGGTCAGCTCTAGCGCATAAGTTTAAATAAACACGGTGATACGGGCGTTTAACAGCATTTGCCAAGGTGATAAGACCCCTGAGAAACGTGCGGCCCCCTCGAACAACAAGTGCTGACCAATTGAGCTTGCCAATGAGTCGTTGGAGGTGAAGCTTGGAGCATTTATGTTTTGAACTGGTTTCCTTGAGAACGAATAACAACTCAGATACACGATCTTCTGGTAGGCAGAGTTCACACTTAAAAGCGTCAATTTCAACTCCCAGAAAAACCAGACATTGGGCTGGGAAGACAACTTTTGTCCAGTTGACAGTGAAGCCAAGAGACTCTAGTAAGTTTAGTAGAATGTCAAAAGCTGCTTTGCACTGAAGCTGAGTTGGTTCAATGATGAGGAAGTCGTCCAGGTACGCCTACACAGTATACCCTCTTCGGGCCATCACTCGACAGACTGATTGTGTGAGACGATGAAAAATCATTGGTGAGGCCCTGGCTCCAAAGGGGAGTCACTTATCATAGAGGTAGGTTGAATGTTTAGAGTCCTTGAAACACCAAGACATCCCTGTAACTCGCCAGCTGTCAGGGTGAATACCAACGCTTCTGTAAGCGTGTTTTAAGCCAACTTTTGCCAACCAACAGCCTGGTTGAAAGAGGTTTGCTGCATCATCAACAGTAACATACTTGTAATGTTCTAAATCCATGTATGAGTTGGCATTTGCCATTAAGGGTCGGCTGCAATCCATGATTATCCGTAATTCATTTGAGTCCTTTTTAGGTACGGCCCCAAGTGCATTAACGATTATGGGCATGTGGGACTTGTCTGCTACAGCAAAATGGTCTTCTTGAAGACCCTTAACCAGTTGCGCTTCAATTTGATCTTTA